TACCTAATGTAAATGTTCAGCTCATATGCCTGTCTTTTGTTTGGCTGGAAGCCACAGAAGTGGGTTCAATTCCAGACCTGAAGGGCAGTTAGGGGCCATAGTGTCAGTGGTTCTATCAGACTCTATCAAACCAGCAAATTTGGTTCCTATTTATTTATTTATTTTAATACTTTTGAGTTCTGTTCCACATTGTTCTCCTATGCTGTCCAGGATCTGCTACATAGATTCCCCTCTGAGTGGTTGACAGTGATAGCCAGGCACCATCTAATTCTTTTGGTCTCATAGTCATATAGGCTGAGGATCACATGGTGTACCAGTTTCTTAGACTAATTGTTTCCATGCATCTTTGGTTTTCTTCATTCTTCTTTTCTCTGGAGGAGGAGAGATTTATTGTTGCATCTAGATGGCTGCTTGCAAGCTTTTAAGATCCCAGTCGCTACTCACCAAAGTGGAATGTGGAACAATGTTTCTATGCAGTATGTTATGTCAATTGAGCTTGATATCCCCTGCAACTATGGTTCTGAGCCCACAGGTCCAACTATTGGCTCCCTCTGGGTAACTGGCTGCACCTAAGAAATGACTACAATCTTGTCCCTTGTCAGCTCTACTATATACCTGGGAATTCTTACAGAACATACAAATACACTTGTAAAACCATTGTCTGCCAACCCTATACATGATCTTGGGTATATTCCCCACTTCACAGACATACCTAATAGTTCAGCTTGTCCACCCATCTATCCACCCGACCTGAATACCTATGTTTGCCTTCACTGACAACACAGTATGTGCAAAAGCGTTCATTTTTGTTGTCTGTACCTCCCATGTACCTCACCATATTGATCACTCACATTTGGTTCATTGCCCTTCTCTTCACCCAAATCAATACTTATCTCTACCTATCTAATAGTGTTCCCTCCCCTCCCCTAACACCCCTGGTAACCAACAAGGTTACCAGGAAGAAAATTTCCTTCCGTGGATAAACCTTTCCTTGACTTTTACAGTAAGAGACTAATACAATATTTGTCCTTCTGTGATTGACTTATTTCACTCAGCATAATCCTCCAAGTCCATCCACATTATGCAGTGTTTTGCAGATTCTAGGTATTATTTAGGGTTGCATAGTATTCCACTGTGTGTATGTACCAAAGTTTGGTTATGCATTCCTCAGTTGATGGACACCTAGGTTGTTTCCATCTTTTGGCTGATGTAAATAGTGCTGCAATGAACATGGGTGTGCATATGTCTGTTCTTGTCATGGCTCTCACTTCTTTGGGATATATACCTAGTAATGAAATGGCTGGGTCAAATGGTATTTCTAATTCCAGCTTTTTAAGGAATTGCTCACCATACTGCTTTCCACAGTGGTTGTATCATTTGACAGTCCCACCAGCAATGTATGAGCATCACAATCTCTCCACATCCTCACCAGCATTTGTAATTTTCTGTCTTGTTGAACTTTGCTACTAGTGCTGGGGAAGGTGGTATCTCACTGTTACAATGATTTGCATCTGTCTAATGGATAATGAGGGAGCTCTGGTAGCATAGTGGCTAAGACACTTGCCTGCTAACCAGACGGCTGACGGTTCAAACCCACCAGCCACTCCTCGGAAGGAAGGTTGGGCAATCCTACTTCCGTAGTGATACTGCCTCGGAAACCCAAGGAGGGGTCGCTA